GGGGGGGGGGGTTTGACAAAAAGCTTGTTGGATTTTTCCCCTTTCTACTCATCCTCTCTGAGTGACATTTCTTCATCTTCAACTTTCACAGTGGAGGATGACTGGTTTGTACAGCGGTAGGTCAGGTCTGCGGTTCAGCCTACTTTAGCCCAGATCAGGAACGCTGGGATGTCCCGGACAGGCACGTTACGTGTGAGAGCTTTGACTCTTAGGTTGCGGTCATCCGTGAGCAAGACCACCTCCCTGCGCAACCTCACCGGCCCATCTGGAGAATACAAAGCATGTGAGTCAGAGAAGAGAAATGTTTTTATCAGCTGTTTGGACTCTCATTCTGATGGCACTCATTCACTACAGAGGATCCATTGGTGAGTAAGTGACGCAAAGCAAAATTTCTCCTAATCTGTTCCCATGAAGAAAAACTCATCCACATCTTGGATGGCTTAAAACTTGGATGGAGTAACTATGTCTTTAAAAACATAGCAATCAAAGTCAGATGCTGTAAAAATGTGTAAATGGATTAATAATTAGAAACAAATTCAGATGGAATTCAAAAGCGCGCCCTGTGGTGATTGGCCCCTAACAAGTAAAAGTGAACTGACTTCTCTCAGCAGGCATGAAGTCCTTGGCTTTGTCCTGACAGTAGTGCAGACAGCAGGACAGGATGACATCATCGTTGTTGCCCTGGGGAGACAGACGCACAATGAGTGGGTGGCTTTAAAATAGAGTTTAAAGTCCTTTTAAAGTGCATTTCTGAACTTCTTAAGGGATTTTTCACACTAGAGTTGCAGGTTGATGTTGAAGCCATTTTCTGAACTTGGGTTGCGCACCATGGAACCGCGTCGGAGTCTCTCCCAACGATTGTTCCCTGAAGATTACCGTTAGACTAATTTTGCAGCCTCTCTGTCTTGTTACTTACATGAGAGTGTTAAGACAGGTGATTATAAAAGAATCTCTCATTTGAACCTCACTATCAAAAGTAGCTTTAGATTTGACAAATTGAGTTGTCAGTTCAGAATTAGTTTAAACTGTTAATTTCAGATCCATTCACAACTCAGTTGTGTAATCACTAAACTAAAATGATTCTGATTTTTTTAATTTTATTTCTTTTTATATATATATATATATATATATATATATATATATATATATATAAAATTGTATTAATTTATTTATTTATTTTTCTTTATTTTAATTTATTTAGTCATTTAGCAGCTTACTGCTAAATGACTAAACTTACAGCTTACATGTAATGACTAAACTTTCAGCTTATCTTACTTACAGCTTATATCTATCTATATATCTATATATATATATATATATATACACGAAACATGGACAAAAGAAGGGGACTTGAGTCCTTTCTCCGAACTTGCTCCTCAAAACTGCTCCTCTTCGCGATCCTCTGGTCGTGGGGGAGGTTTGGCCGTTGTTTTTAAAAACCTTTACCACGGCCGCATTATTCCGTCTGATGTTTATAAGAGTTTTGAGGCTCAAATGTCTTTAATGGACTTGGCAAATCCAGTTCTGTGTGTTGTTATTTATCGACCCCCTCAGTTTAGTAACGCTTTTTTGAGTGAATTTGCAGATTTTTTGGGGAATGTTGTAACCATCTACGATCAAATTTTATTGCTTGGTGATTTTAATATTCACATCTGTTGTCCCGGTAAGCCGCTATCTAAGGATTTCTGTAATCTTATGGATTCCTTTAGTTTTTCTCAATGGGTGCAAAGTCCCATGCATATTCACGGTCACACTTTGGACCTGGTATTCTCCCATGGTTTTTACATTACGGGCATGGAGATCAGAGACTCAGGCTTCTCTGATCATAAATTTCTGACTTTCACCACTACCTTCCCTCGTCGATCAAGTACTACATCTGCTCAGGCCCGCTGGGTTCGCTACTTTTCCCCTACAGCCTGCGAGGATTTTGCTACTGCATATAAGGCAGCCGATGAATGGTCAGCTACAAATTGGTCTGTAGAAAGCTTTGACGCTAATACATATTTTAATTGTTTTAATAGCACCTGCTTGAATATTGTCAACAACATTGCTCCTTTGAAGATCAAGCGTTCCATCAAAAAATCTGCTCCTTGGTTCAATGACTCTATTCGCTCACTCTGACGAAACTGCAGACAAGCAGAACGCAAATGGCGTAAGGACAGGTTGCAGGTGTCCTATGACATTTTAAGGGAGTCCCTTTCTATTTTTCAGAAAGCTGTCAAGTCTGCGAAATTTAAATTTTTTCAGAGATTATTTCAAAAAATCACCATAGACCAAGAGTTTTATTTTCAACAATAGATGCTGTTTTAAATCCAGCTGTTGATGTTTTCCCTGATGTGTCTAATCTCTTATGTGAAAAATTTGTGGCCTTTTTTGTCGAGAAGATAGCAAGGTCAAGACCACAATCATTGGCAGCTCTTCATATCTCTCCTGAAATAATTGGGTGCTCTTCTACTTGGAGCATGATTAGTTTCATTTCCCTTCAAACCTGTAAAGACATTATTGATCAGCTGAAACCTACTTTTTGTCCGTACGATATTATTCCATCACACTTTTTTAAGCAAATTGTTGATACCATAGGGCCTGATCTCCTGTTTTTTATTAACAAGTGTCTGAGTACTGGCACGGTCCCTGACGGCCTAAAACATGCCTCTGTTACTCCTCTCTTGAAGAAACCAAATCTTGATGTGTCTGTTTTAGGTAATTTTAGACCAATTTCTAATCTCCCTTTTATCTAAAAAATCTTGGAAAAGGTTGTATTTATTCAACTTCACTCTTTTCTGGATTCTAACTCATTATATGATACTTTTCAGTCAGGATTTAGAAAACTATATAGTACTGAATCTGCTTTACTGAAAGTTACTAATGACATTCTGCTGGCTACAGATAAAGGGAGTGCTGTTGCTCTGGTCCTTTTAGATCTCAGCTCAGCATTCGACATGGTCGATCACTCTATTCTCATCTCCCGACTGGAAAATCTTTTAGGCATTCAGGGTACCGTTTTGAATTGGTTCCAGTCTTTTTTAACTAATAGGATGTTCTCTGTCTGTATTGAAAAACACACTTCCTCAGTTGCACATCTTTCTTGTGGTGTTCCGCAGGGATCTATTCTGGCTCCAACACTGTTCTCCTTATACTTGCTGCCATTGGGTTCCATCTTTTCCAAATATGGAGTATCTTTTCACCTATATGCCGATGACACCCAATTATACCTTCCTCTTAAACAATGATTTAAGTTGCTCTTCAAATGGTACAAAATGCTGCAGCCAGGCTGCTGACTGACAGTCGAAAATTTGATCATATCTCTCCCATCTTAACTTCTCTGCACTGGCTACCAGTCAAACTGAGAATAGATTTTAAAATTCTAGTTTTTGTTTTTAAAGCATTACATGGCCTAGCACCAGCGTATCTTTCTGACATTTTACATTATCATAATCCTTCTAGGTCACTTAGATCAAGCAGCCTTGGATTGCTCTCTGTGTGTAGATCGAAGTTAAAACATCGTGGAGACCGAGCTTTTGCGACAGCTTCCTCTTTCAAATCAAAACTTAAAACACATTTGCTTAGTGTGGATTTCTAATTATTTTTTTATTTTTTATGAGATATTATCATTTGTATCTTTATGTGACTTCTATTATCTGGACAGCACTTTGGTCAACCCTGGGTTGTTTTTGAATGAATGAATGAATGAATGAATGAATGAATGGTATAACAAAGAGTGAAAAATTTAAGGGGGTCTGAATACTTTCCGTACCCACTGTATATATGAGTGTTTTACTGGTGCATATAAATAAAAATTTAAAAAGCATTTTGTAACTACTTTAGCCCTGATCAGGAACGCTGGGATGTCCCGGACAGGCACGTTACGTGTGAGAGCTTTGACTCGCAGGTTGCGGTCATCCGTGAGCAAGAACACCTCCCTAACTGGCTATACAAATTTATACAGCTGATAGATACTGGACTGGAATGGAATGGAATAGAAAATTTTAAGGGCATCAATGATTTGGACTTCAGTAACAAAAGTAGCTGTGGAGTTGGTAAGTTCAGTTTCGTGAATCAGTTCTACCTGTTTGTTTCAATAAATCGATTCAAACTCTGATTCAACGATTTATTTGTGACTAAACTAAGCAAAAAGGGTTCTGGTAAAACATACCAGTAAATAAATATTACTGTGTATTGTTATACTGGTGCATATAAATATTAACACATAAATAAATTTAGTAAGAAATAAGAGTGGGGAAACAGCATTTAACATTTTTTTAACTAATTGGCTACAAGAATTTAAATGGCTGAAAGTCAAAATAATGATTTCTCTGAAATAAAATAAAATGGGCAAATACATAACTGCAAATACACACTGAATATACACATACAT